AAACACTACCGCCAACTATTTTAAAAACTGTATTTCCAGGAGAAAATTTGGGGACATTATTTCTCTCGTTATGTCTTACAGCAAAGTTTACAAATTTAGGAAAAGTTTTCACTGGCAACCCTAACAATAGCGATGGGCGATTGTTCATCCAAAACCTTTGAATGGTCTACGCGATGTTTCATTGTCTAATTTTTCATTTTATTTCTTTTAAGTTCTTCGACACAAATTAATCAATTCATCAAGGCGAATAACATTTTAATACGGGGGGGGGGGGGAACATTTTAGGCCAATTATGTTGACTTGGAGAGCGGTTTGAAGTTTGTACAAAAGGTGAAAGTGAATACGAAGCTCTTACTGTCTGTTTATAACTGTTTTGGCACTTTTCGGAATCGCGCAGGGGGGTTTCTCGACATCCCGTTTCCCTGTCAACTTGACTCCCACGGGTAGAAGAGGTAAAAGAGATTATTAGGAAATGAATTAGGTACTCTCAGACCTCCAGCCTCTTGTCTCCGCTCAAAATGGCGTTTAATTCCATTTGAATCTAGCAATTGTGTAAGGCGTGTTTTTCCATTACCCGAAATTGCGAACACTGGGTTATTTGCCGTTGGATGGCAAATGAACACAACGCAAGGCAAATGCCTGTCAATAAGTTTTCACTCTCTTTTTCGTTCCTGAAATTTAACTGTTTAATTTTACCTGGTAAGTTGTGCAAACAAATGGTTTAATCTCCTAACATATTCCTTTCATCATGTATCTGATTGATTTTTCTTGTAAATCAGGCATTTTACGGATTTCATACTCCTCCACAGGTTGAAAATTTGCCACTGTTGCGCAGTTGATTGGGGAAACAACAAACAAAATACTTGATAGAAAACGCTCTAAAGTGAAGATGTCGTTTTCGATCAGGGTCAGGGCATTGATTTAAAAGAAATTATCGACAGATACTTCTATTATTATAGTTTTTTGAAAGCGAATGAGTGGAATATTTTATAGAAAAAGATTGATTTTGTTAAGTCCTTTGCACGTGGCGCTTTGTTAACATTTTTGTTTGAAATTGAAAGAGTTTTAATTAAAATGTACCTAAAAGAGAACATTAAGTATTCTTTTTGTTTCTGCGGCTATAGAAAAAAAATCGTCTCCGAATTACGATTTTAAGATGGCTTCTTAACACAAATGGCTAAGTGGATATAATTACTCAATCACTCTCGCTGGTCACTCTAACATTTTTAATAGTATGAACGCTTTGTTCATTTGACTGGCGGTAACTACCGGTGATAGACTTTAATGCCTCTGTAAATTGTCGCCATTATAGGTCAGGTCTTCTGCAAACGTATTCTCTGGACGCGTCGTGTTTGATTTGATGTGAATGTTGCCAGAATCCTCTGTCATTAAAAAAACAAGCTTTTCATAAACCCGTTCGTCAAGTTGTAGCAGTTCCTTTGGGTCAATTCTAAACTTACAAACGCTGTTGGGACAAACTTATTAAAAGCAACTACTACTCTGTGTTTCTCTATCACAGTTTATTTCAAGACAAATGTTTCCAATGTTTAATATAGTTATCAAACTTGTTTATTTTTGATAAAAAGCTGAAATTAGGGAATGGAACTTTTTAATTAGCACTTTTGAGTGTCCTTCTCTCCTTGCTCATCCGTTGCCCTGGAAAATCCGACAGACTAGTTAATTTGGTAAAAGGCTTAAACATGAAAACGATCTAGAGAGCTGAACATAGCTAATTTACCATTGTCTGATGTATTATTTCCAATTTTTAAGAACCTGGCTCTAAAAAAAGGAAAGAACCATTTTGAATAGAAAAAGAAGTAGTTTTCCGGTAGTTTGAACAAAGCAATCAGTCTTTTTGGCGCCGGGGGAATTCTGCCTCTATAAGACCTTCTCTTTTTTTTTGTTTATTCTTTGTTTGTGCTTTTCTTAAAGATGTTTTATTTTCCTACACAGCAGAGCATCGAATCACAACTTTGCCCTCTAACAGCTGGCTGCAATCCCAGGACTTTTTGTCGCCGGAAACGTATCTCGTACATCTATTCTTTTGATTTTCCTTTTAAAGTTAAAGAGAGCAAAAACCAATTATTAGAGCGAGAGATTGACTAAGGAATATTCTTGTGATTATGTTCATAAAATTTATGCTATTTGCATTGTTAGTCCCTTTTTCAATAGGTTTGAAAAACTAATAATAGCCTGTTACAAGAACAGACCACGTAACTGTACCTAAAACGCCCCTCTGGCGTTGATAATCACATAGTAGTATTCTCTACAAAATGTTTATAATTTTCTTTAGTTAATTTCATCCAGAATATTAAAAAAGTATTATAGTGGATAAAAATTCAACTTTAATATACGTTTTCTTGTAAATCAAAGCTTTAAAGTAGGGGATTAAAGAATAAATATCTCAAGTTTTTTTTAAGGGAAATGAAACTGGATATTTTACATGTAAATCTTCCTGTAGACTGGAGTCACAGTTTTTTTTTGAAATTCAGTGATACGGACTAAACTAGAAATAAGGTAAAAAATGCCTTTTTAATTTTTAACACTTGATACTTCATAGTATGTCAATTGATCTTCGAGGTGTTACGCTCGAAAACGTTTCATATGTACGAGTGACCTGTGAATCGTGCTAAGGGATGACGAATCTAACTCAGTAAACTGTACATCCCAATGATACACCTCTCTTTTAAGTCAAGAAACCAGTGTAAAAAAGCAACTGCAAATAGGGAAGGACATTGTTTCTACTACTCATTCTTCCTTCCAAATCATCTAAATTTCCCTTTTGATAGAAGAAAAACCTGGTTGTTGATCTTAAATTAAAATAACAAGCGAGAGGTACGGAATGTTTATTCTCCTCCTTAGCTATTAGCTTACTTCCTTTTGTGTAAGCGTAAAAAGGAAAAAAGAAAACATTAGCTGCGGGCTAACCAGTTGCAGTAAGTTGTCTTATGTTACGAGCAAACTTGCAATCAAAAGAATATTGGCTAGGCACGCTGCCGGCAAAAATGGCAATTATTTCTTGGCGGGATTTACAGTGGTTTCACGAACTCGCACTAAAAGTAACTAAAAAGATCCCAAACTTTTAATGTGGACTTATTCAAACTGGAAACCTAATCGTGAAAAAAAAAATAGACTTGCATTTTATTAATTAGGACAGGAATTCTTAACGAGAGCTCGCTGCGAACTCTGGTGCTAAATCCGAAAATTGTTTCCAGGCAATCAATTCCAGGTGTTTCTTTGATGTTTCCGACGAACAGTAAATTCACCATTTTCAATATGTAGGATATAAATGAAAGCTTTCGTTATCACTTAATTTCAGAAAGTGAATTATTCAAACTCTCATTTATGTATCAATTATTCACAATCTCAGACACACTTTCGTTGAACTATATGTTGCCCTTTTTTGGCGTTCGTGCTTGCCAGCGTCTTACAGATTTTCTTGGCATTAATTCTGTTAGCATAACTTAAACTAACCAAGTTTTCTAATCCTTATATATCTGTGGTTTTACGACGCTAATCCGAACGGTAAGGCAGTAGAGTGCATGACATGCTTTATGAAATAAACGATAAAAACTCGAATGTCCTCGATAACCTTAAGTATTGCTCTTTCGATATTTATATATAGTTGAGTAATCTTAATTCAATTATTCCAAAGGTCAGACTGAGGCGAACGCGTGTTAGCGAATCGAAACATACACTTTTCGCGGCTTTCAAGGCTCTGATAATTACTTTAAGACGGCCTGTTTTCGTTGTCTGTTGGCTTTCATTTTCAATCAAGCACCAGCATTCTCTCGTGGGCGGCTTTTTTTTCCTTTGTCAAAACCATCCAAATCGTCCTTCATTGTCAAACGAAGGTCGGATAAACACATTGTGTTAAAAATTACCATAAACAAAAACCAACGGAGATCAATATAAGTGGTCTATTGTGGATTACGAATCGTAATTTGCCGCTTCAGAGAAGAAGCCGCCATTATTTGGCAACCTCGAGGCGGTGCACTTTACATCACAGCTTTTTTCGCCCCCTTATATTAAACGACCTAGAGGTGATTGTTTCCCAAACAGATTGTCCCTGCGAACAATGTCGACAAGCGCTTCGAGAAGTTATTGACATTTATAAATGGGTGAAAATTAGAGCAGTGTATGTTGAAAACAATTACATGAATAGGGGTCACAAACCTTTACTTAGAGATCGTACACGAACGTAATACTGGTCATTTTATACATTTACATTTGCTTACCATGACAAGAAAGCGTATCTTATTGCCGACCAACTCGGCCAGGGAATGGCATGTAGTTACTAAAATAGCGTTAGAATGTCAGGTTTAATAGTATAAGTACTTAAAGCATTTCCTTTAATTAGGGTTATTGCAGGGACCGATAATAAATTATGGAACTATCAAAGACACCACCAAGAACAACAATTGCATTAAGCGTGTTTTTTCAGGAAAACAGACTAAACCCGCACAAAATAAACCTGTCCTTGTCTGTGACAAGGCCTATTAACTGATCCAACTTAAGCGATTTGAACTTGAGGGTTAAACTATTCCAGAGCAAAGTCACTTTCGTTGTCTTATTATTTCACACTCTGTACGGTATGTTTAACTTTGAGAGCAGTCTAATAATTATTAATATGCTCTAAGCAAAGAGGAGTTTATTGAGCGGCATAGTGATTGGTCGGTCTCTTTACACTGAGTCAAGCTCGATTGGCCTCTGTTTATTGCTAATTTCCTCGCTTGTGCATTTCAATTACTTTTCGAAGCGAGCGCTTCTTGATTGGTCCGTGCGCTTGGATTTGAATATCTGTGGTTAATTACTTTTCTGACATATCGGAACGAGGTGTGACTTTTATTCATTGACGGCTAATTAGCAAGCTGCTTGGATCGACGGAGTAATAATTTCATTTCGCTTCGATCATCTGTTCATGTGATGTTTTATTAGTACCTCTCGCTGCGTGGACGTCTTGTCATTGAGAACAAAAGCACAACGAGTCAACACACGCTATGCGCTCAGAAGAGAAAAAACAACTATCGTCATTCTCAGTCAACCACATCCTTCAAGCTGCTGAGAACACAATGTCTAGTGGAAGACCAAGAGAGACAGACGTCGCAAACACGAACGATTCTAGTGAGGACACCAATGTCAAGATTTCCCTGGAAGAGAATGAACTTTGGTGGCGATTCAAGTCGCTGACAAACGAGATGATAGTCACTAAGAATGGAAGGTGAGCAATTCCTAAAAAAATTTTCAGAACTTATTCTGAGAAAATTTTAATACCATGATTCAATTTTCAGGCGGATGTTTCCCGTTCTTAAAATAAACGTTACTGGACTGGAGCCCAAAGCTATGTACTCCTTCCTGCTCGATTTCGTGTCCGTCGAGGGCCATCGTTGGAAATACGTGAACGGAGAATGGGTCTCGGGCGGAAAACCCGAACCCCCGACACCAAGTTGCGTCTATATTCACCCTGATTCACCAAACTTTGGGGCACATTGGATGAAACAACCTGTAGTTTTTTCCAAAGTAAAACTGACCAACAAACAAAATGGCAACGGGCAGGTATGCTTATTCCTTTTTTCCTTTTTTTGTAATCTGGATTTTAGTTTACCTTTGAGTGTCCCAGACTGAACTGGTGTGATCATGAACAAAGAAAAAAAGGTGTCCTTTTTCTTTGGAACCACTTACGTGGATGAAATTCAATAAAGTCCAGATAACAAGTGATTGTGTTTGATTCTGCCTACAAAGGAATTAACTCGTGAAGAACACACACGAAGTTAAATAACACACGTTTTGTCCTACGTATTGGCTGTACAAAAACGGAGCAATTACTGAATTACTGTCTTTTTCAATTCAGATTATGTTGAATTCCTTACATAAGTATGAGCCGAGAATTCATATTATTCGAGTTGGTGCTCCTGAAAGCAACAGGACAGTGGTTTCTCAATCATTTCCAGAGACGGAGTTTATTGCCGTGACGGCTTATCAAAACGAGGAGGTAAAATAGATTTTATTGAATATTAGAATTCGTTCCTTGAATGGTATCCAGGGAAATTAAATAAACTAAAGAGAATTGCTTTCCTTTTTTTTCTAATTTTTGATCAGATCACTAGTCTAAAGATAAAATACAATCCGTTCGCAAAGGCCTTCCTGGACGCGAAAGAGCGGTAAGTTGTTATTTGTGAAAGTGGACTGTTGAATCTGAACTTCTTCAACTTAAAACAAAAATTCCTAATTTTTGCCCTTTTTCTCATTTAGACAAGAACAGAAAGAGGCGTTGGAGCAAGCTGTAGAGTCTCATTCGGCGTATTCGCAATGTGAGTTTGTTATTTCACAACAAATTGATTTATTATCTTAAGAGATGTTTGTGAATTACACACTTGAAACTTGGTAAATCGAATGTTGTGTGGTTTTTTGAGAGCACGTTGAAACTGTCCAACCGATTAGAGAGTCCTTGGTCAAGTATGACCTCGCGCTTATGTGCGCGTATCAGCAAATTGTCGAAAAATTGTTCCCGCTCGTGGTTTGGAGACGAGAAATTTTTCTAGTATTCGACACTTCAATGTTCGATTTAGCATGGCACAGAGGATAGCACTTGGTTCAATTTTGCACTTGCACTTCGCACTTCGCACTTCTTCGATGAAGCCACGTCTCAAATTGTAGCGCGAAGGTGCGATTTTCCCTCTGTGCACTTTACTTGAGGAGTTCATTGTTGCTAAAAAGAAAGCGACAATACGTGAGAAATTTATTACGATTCTGTTCACACATCTTGGCCTTATCGCGCGGATATTCTCACCTCCGATGTGATTTTTTATGTTTTCTATATTTCTCGTTATTCATCAATTCGATTTATAGATACTAAGTTCTTTATTTTGCTTCTATCTTTTCACAGATGGCTGGTTTTGTGCTGGTCCTGCGCCCGTATACCAACACCGCCACCATTCGAGGGCTTATGCACACATTCCTTCCTCGCCATATGAGCGCTTAGGAATAAGAGGACATCGCCCATCTCCGTACTCTAATCCCTACCACAAGCGAACAGATCTATCCACCCAAGGTGAAAACCATCATTTAATCTCTCTTTTAGCCTTCAATTTTTATTACTTTGTAATTCATTCTATACCTACCCGCTTCTGGTATTTCCTAAACCGCACAGACAATTTGCGCAATGTAAATTTTCTGTCAGTTTTTAAAGTTGACCTTGACGGGACTTTTATTCAATTTTCCTGGTCGTCAAATGTCCAGTGTCAACAGAAATGAAATTCAAAACCGCTTTTTATTCTAATTTTTCAATCAAAATATATCGCTACCTGAAATAATGTTAATAGATAAAAGTTGAGAACATTTCTTTGAAATTTGCCGTAGAACTCCGAAAGATGACGCTTTGGGCACTCGCAAGAAAAAAAAAAACCTCTAACCATTCAATTTGGCTTCCGTGGGAAAATCTAAATTTAGCATTACTCTGTTTTTACTTCAGGTAATATCCGTTTGTTACATGAAAAGACTAAAGTTTTTGAAATTGTTTTTAAACCTTTGTATCTTGTGCGGTTTGCGCAGCTGAGATTTTTTATTGTTGACAAAGAATACACTTGGACACTAAACATAATGGACCAATCGACCAAATGGCGCACATACAGCTTCTAAACTCGTTCTTAGCTATCAAAGTCGTTTAGGTCGAGCTAAACAAATCTCCCGTATGTCTGCTGTTCTTGTTCATGTTATTTTGGAAAACGATTGGTGGTTTTAAAGACGCGTTCTGGTTCACGTCCACTTAAATTTTCAAAGCCGTTCTTTCATCAAAAGAAAAATTGCGACTTAGCACGAGAAGAGCAGAACAAAAGATATTAAAACCCGTCGAAATGAGAGTTTTGTGTTTTGTAGAAGTGTAAAATCAAGAAGGTTGGAGAGGTAACTGGAGCGTTATTAGCTTATTGGGCTCCAGCATTACAATATCCAAGATTTTCTCTCTTGTACAATTCGATGCAAGTGGCATCAATAGCGACTTTGAAGAAATGGTGTTAGGGAGAATTTTAGATTTATTTTGGCGCAAGTTGTAACCTCTGGCAACCAGCGATAATCATCTAACACAGACGCGCTAAAATGGTTTCTTTTGGGATCCTTTCTTTCGGCACAAAAACTTCAAAAACTCTCCCAGGCCTGCAGATTAAAAGCGTTGGAAACTATTGACAAAAAAAATGCGAAAAGATAGAGGCGTCTAAGGAGACGAAAGTTTAGTCTCACATGATGTGAAACGTTGGGAATACATTTCAATAGTTAATAAATCATTTAGATTTCGAGTCACTTTTGTTGATTCAAATCTAATCTCGTGAGCCTTTCATTTTACTCAAGTTTCGTTTTTTCTTCTTTCTTAGTAGCTCATGCGCCGCAGTACTTTCCAACAGAGTCTAATCAATTACTTCTTCCTGGCCCAACGACGCTCGAAAACATTGCCATGCCGTCGGTGTCCCTCGCACATTCGCATCACACTCCAGCAGGTCCACACCAGCTTCACCCCGGCTTAAGTCCGTTCTTAAGCAATCCATCTTACAACACGACATCAAGAGGTAGTCTCGATATGGACTTGGCTCACAGAGAAAACGACCGATCAAAGTGCATTCAGGCGCCCGGGGTGTCACTTCATCCATCTTGGAACACGCTTGGACAAGCTTAAACCCTGTAAGGGCTTGGTTTTTTTTTTGCCTTAAACAGAAATCAGGAACTTTAAAAAAATTAGTTATAACTGATTCAAAACGAAAGACTTAAAAGGAAGGCGAAAGCAGTTTGTTTCATAAGGAAGGCAGTTCTTTACGCAGTTTACCCGCCTCTGAAAGAAAAATCATCATCATGAAAAAACATTCAGATTTCTAGCACTGAGCTAAAAAGAGGAACTCAAAAACAAACTATTTAATTTTGGCCGACAAAGCAAAGTTTTGGGCATAATTCTTCCAACAATAGAATATTTAGAATATGACATCACAGCCATGTCATTTCCGGAAGGAAAATTATTTCAACCGGTTTTTTTTTTTCTAATGTTGGATTTACATCAAATTCACCAACATTGCACCTCGCCCAAACTCTCCCTCTTATATCGATAATACGAAAGACAATTTTAAAACAAAATATTATTATTTAGTTTAGCTACTTTAGACGAGGTGACCCGAACAGACATTGGATTTATTAATTTATCTTTTATTTTAAGGCTCATTGAAGATTTTGAATCTATATATTTATTTATTTATTTATTTACTCATACTTCATTTATTTTTGAAGGAGTCCGAACTACGGCATCTATCTATGCCGATGCAATTAATCGAAAGGAGAGTTTGGCCTAAGTATTCAGAACTAAATGGCCAGATAAATCATTTTTTAGATTTTTTATGACATTATTGTGAGCATAACGGAAAGCTCTCAAAAAGAAGACCTCTACATTTCTAACCCCTTGGCCAGGTACGATTTTTTTTCCTTTTTTTTCATACATTTTGACTTCCAAAACCGACTACCATAACTCGCCACTGGAGAGAAAGTTTTCAAACAGAACACTCTGCTTGAGAAAATGCAGCTGATAGTTTTTAAGGGAATCATGACAATTTAGGATTTAATCCAGAGATTTTTTAGAGCGTTGTAAGAATTATCGCTCACATCAAAGTAGTAAGGTTCCTAAGCTAAAAGTGCAACTTGCTTATTATTAAACACAAAACGTCCTGGTCTCTGATATCCAAAACGAAACAAAAAAAAAAAAAAGAAGCAAACTTAAGGGGAAATACTTTAAGCATAAATATGGATATGTACATAAAACCTGAAAAAATATTGATTAAGATTTAATATAGTTGGTAAAATCAATCAAGAGAAATATTTATTAAGATAAAGATGATTAACGTTATTAGGAAGAAATTTTCGTTTTGATTAGAACTATAGTCTTGTAAATAGTGTTTGTATGCAAGCTGTTGATGTTTATGCAGGAAAAAAGTATGAAACGCGGGACAAACTTTACATCAAAGTGAAAGTCGTTATTTAACAGATCCAGTGTGTTCTGATATCGCTTACATATCTGAGATATTCAAGGGGCGATATAGGTTGGATATACCTTGTATTACAGTTGTCAAGATAGCTCTACAGCTTGAATAAACTAAACCAAGACTGGATTCAAATCCTCGACGTGTTTTTATTTAAAATTTTTATCCCCTTTGGGTTTTCTGAGCTCGTGGCAGAAATAAGCTAACTTATTTACCTCCGGCCAAGTCAAAACGATATATTTCCGGCTTTGGACCATCAGAATGTTAATTTTGTTAATTAACTTTAAAAAAAGTTCCGAATAGAACAGGTGAATTCAATCAGATTGTGTGGTATCTAACGCACTTTTAACGCCTGCCTTTGAAAAAACAAATTTCTTCGAAACGAGAAGTTCATTTTCCGCGGCGGCTTAGAATTTCTTACTAATGAGACCAGGGGCGTGTTATCACTATAGAAAGACTTTTCAAGGGACCAAGGATTCTTCCTTGGTATTTTCGTGTCAGCGCTAACTACTCGTGAGAGAACGAAAAAAAAGTTCAGTTTGCGACTCCTTTCACACTTTCTTGCGACTTCAAGAACACAAAAGCATAGAAGTGTGGACGAAAATTGTCTCTGTGTTCTATATGTATACCACAATTTTTATAACTCGCTGTGATGTTTTTCCTCAAACGTGACGAAATTCGAACACGCATAAAACAATGCAGTAACAAAATAACAGCGATGAAATGTTCCTGCCTACGAGAAGTATAAAGCTTCCTTCGTTTGCCGCTAACATTGATTTCTGGTGTGATTTCATTTTTTCCTTCTTTTCTAGGCGGCATCGCTCAGGTACATTGCGGCAACTTTTCAAGCGCATATTCAATTGATTTGACCTTTGTTTTTAACACTGAGGTGTAAATTTAGCTAACAATAGCAAGTCAAGATTGAAAAAGATTAATAAAAACTCTTCAATCTCTAAAGCCATTAAAACGTGCGAGACGAAATCATTTCTAAACCAGAGGAGGGAAAACTGATGAGTTTTATCTACGTTCTCTTTGTGTTCAGTCAGGCTAGCTTGATGATTTGGAAGGGAAGGCGGCCATCGAGGAGCCTGATGGACGGTGTTTTCGGCACTTTGATCATGAAATTCTTTCTTTAATCAGCCTCTGATTGTGGGCACCTTTGTTTATCAAAACTTGCTAAACTATATTACTTTCTAAAGGCTCTGTTATGATAATGAAGGGTTAATAAGTCGAGTCCTATGTTATTTACTGCTTTCTTTTAATCATGCAGTTTATTGAACCTCCATCTTACTAACGCGTTCTTCTTTGATATGATAATTTAAGTGAAATCGATGCGGTTTTTTCATTGTTCTGGTGGTCTTAACAATGGACCGTTCGCTTTCACTTCGAACAACTTCCGTTAACGTTCGAATTTTACTCAACTAACAGCAAAATATAGCTAATAAAGCACGAAGTTTGAAAGTAAACTATTTGACTGAACGACTTTTGCAAACAAATTTGAAGTCATTGGTCTGACGTATAACAGTTTTAAACAGCAACCACTTCGAACAGAACTAAGTCTCGCGCGACAAGCCATTGTCGTCCAAGCAGAGGGTAGATAATGATACTGTATTACAAATAAAAAGTTAACGAAATTGTTTTCTCGTAAACAAACCGTTAGATACACAAATCCTTCTTGTTCGCAAATGTAAGCACTAGTAGTATTGATATGACAAGTCATAACTTGAAGTCTGTTTTGTATCCATGCATACCTTGGTAAAACTGACAAAATTTAACAAGACAAGTCGGGCACTGGTTTCGTTATTTACGAGTTTTTTCATGAGATAATGCTTCATGAAGCAATGAAGAAATCGGTTCCGGTTTATTTTATAAAGCTAACGCTTCCGATTCATTCTCCCCTCTCTTTTACATTTAGCAATATGTGAGCTACCTGAAACCAATTCCCACTTTCTCAATTCCGAGCTTTCTTTTTTCATCCATGTAAATGACAAACCATAACTGATCAGAGCAAAGCGGGATTGAGAGAGTGGTTTCAAAGCCTAAAAAGCTGGGATTAGCCGCTTTTGGTGGATCGTCGTCACTTCACTCCGGACAAGATCAAGCCTGAGATATTTTGAACCAGAGTTTAATTTGTGGCCACTGAAAATCCATGTCAAACTTAGAGGGTAAGATCAGAAATACTCTGCCTCAATCGAGCATGTCTATTATTTGAGTACCTTTCTTAATAACTATAATAATAATGATAATAATAATCTATCAGAATTGATTGAGAAGATATAGTTAAACGTGCTTCGGTCCCTGAAGTAAACAAAAATGTTTTTTTCTTCTTTTCTGCAGATGTTAAGGTTTTTGCAACTGATATGGTAAACAGAAATGTTCTTTTTTGTCTGCAGATGTTACGGTTTTTGCAACTGATATGGTCAAACTTTATATAACTTTGTCCAGATGAAAATAGTGCAAATTGGGTCTGAAGAATGATTCACTACAAGAAAACTCGCCTTATTTCTTCTTTCAAAGAATTTTTCATTTACTATCAAGGCAAAATAGATATTGCGGTGAGTTAAAAACGCTTAGGTTAACGAATTATAATTAAACGCAAACTGTTGAGTCTCTACTCGAATAGAAAGTTTCGCTATTGCATAAATAGCGCTCTCTACTGCGAGGATCGTGCATCATACGTATCTAATACCGCAGTTCAAAATATATGAACTTCATATATACATTGTATCGGAAATTTCATTGTTGGAGAGCAAACCGTTGTAATATTTGTAACTGTGAGACAGTCGCGTGCAGAAACAAATCAGTTTCTCACCGCAAACACACTTTTAGTCAAAGCTCTGGTTCTTTAAGTGGATATTTCACAACCATTTTCTTTATAACGCTTTTATTGAGTAAGAATATGCCTTCCTTACAAAACTTTGTAGTGATAACAGATACTTACACTCAAGCTCTGTACCATGTTGGTTAAAGCCGAGCCTTAAAGATTAACAGGGGCGGATCCAGGAATTTTTGATTGGGGGGTCCAAACTTTGGTTCAGAAAGGACTGTTGGACTCTTTTGAGCCAAATTACTTCTCCCCCACACCCCCTCCCACCAGTCGCGGTTGCGCGTTATAATTCCTTGACCGCTTACCGTTTATTTGCATTCATTAATTAAAAAAATCAGCCAGTTAAAAAGTGGTATACGATCCTGTCGATGTAAGAATTTCATTCTCAAAGTTGTAAGCGTCGGGTCTGTTGGGGAGAGGGTCCGGACCCCCCGGACCCTCCCCCTGGATCCGCCACTGGTTAATAACATTAGGTGGAGTATGTAAAAAGAATTTATTAAAACGTGTTTGAGATGGCTGGTGGGGAAAGATTTAGCGCCATTCAGTTCTCTCGCAATCCGGGCCACAAGCTACAGCCGCGCGACTTAATACTCTTGCCTTTCACGCAAGATAAGAGGATCAGTTGTACGAACTAGTAATTCAAAACGTTTTCTCGTCAACTGCCCACTTTTTACCTTTCTGTGATAGCCTTCTGTGGTTATTTAATCATTGTTCGTTAACAATCCTTCTCAAACTCACTAATAATTCATCAAGTTACAAACCAACCACGATACGCCAATTTGGCCCCATGTGTGCGTTTAGAAACCCCGATGAAACACTGGACAGAGGCTTTTCCATTATACTTTGATGAAATATCAAACCCTAGAACTTGATAAAATGTCAAACCCCACTGATGGAGAATTTATCCTCGTACGATGCCAAATCAGTCAGAATTTTTCATTGTTCTTGGATGCGCGATTGAGAAGCAATTTCAAAAACTCGTGCTTCTTGTTTCATCGGGGTTTTCAAACACTCAAAAACAATAAAAGCACTCGGCCTATACCCACCTCATTTTCAAAACGAGTCCTGGTGCTCATCCTTTCATATGATAATAAGTTTTCATTCGCATGCAAATTAAACTCATTTTCACAAGAATGGCTGAGCACCAGGCCTCGTTTTGAAAAGAGGCCAAGGGTAATTCGGAAATGGGCTATTGAGCGGAAACAACACTTTGAAATTCTCACATCAAATCATAAATCGAACCAAGGAAAAACGATGATGATTCTAAAAACAAATTTTGTCGGGATGATTCTTCTCGCCTAATCTGATTTCATTTTATTAAAACTGGAATCGAACAATTGTGTTTTCACTTGTAAAGTAGTACACAAAATGTGAGTTAAATGATCTTGACAGCTCATCAATATAATCCTGCGTGAAGAACATGCATTTTACTTACGAGAGTGAAAATGAGTTCCTTCTATCTGTAAATAACATATTTTTAAGTTCAGAATTATTGAAAAAATGCGTTTTTTTTTCTCAAAGCAAATTTCGCACGGAACACTCCTTAGTCATAATAAGGCTGCATGATTTTTTTATGAGATAGAATAAATATATGAAAATCATATATTTTGAACTGCGGTATTTGATACGTATGATGCACGATCCTCGCAGTAGATAACGCTATTTAAGCAATAGCGAAAATCAGACCTGAAAAAAATCAGGCCTGTACGGGACTCGAACCACTGACCTCTGCAATACTAGTGCAGCGCTCTACCAATTGAGCTAACAAGCCAACTGAGAGCAGGCCGTTAAGTTGATTCGTAATGAACCCGTGAAAGTGATAAATGAGATAGAATAAATATATGAAAATCATATATTTTGAACTGCGGTATTTGATACGTATGATGCACGATCCTCGCAGTAGCAACTTCATATATTTCATTGTATCTGATTTATCACTTTCACGGGTTTATTACGAATCAACTTAACGGCCTGCTCCCAGTTGGCTTGTTAGCTCAATTGGTAGAGCGCTGCACTAGTATTGCAGAGGTCAGTGGTTCGAGTCCCGTACAGGCCTGATTTTTTTCAGGTCTGATTTTCGCTATTGCTTAAATAGCGTTATCTACTGCGAGGATCGTGCATCATACGTATGATTTTTTTACTTGACTGAATAGAAGCTCCAAATTGTGTTGACAATGTTTGAGTTTGACTTCACCAAAATAAACATAATAACTTTGCAGTATTAAGAAGTCGATCCAAGCAAGAGAAATCAAGGCAGTTGTCATGGTTATTAGTGCTTCTCGTAGAGTTGTGAAAAGTTGTACTTTAGAGTGATACCCCTTTCAAGAAGCCGACTTGTGCTCGATTCACACCTACGTGGTCACGTGAATATTTGAGTTTTTCTCTTTTTTCGTTCGCCTCCAGTCAGAGATGGCAAATGAACAAAGTTGAAAAGGAACACGAGTCTCCAGTGTAAGGTTTCGATAACGCAAATGCTTTACCGACCAAGTTACAGAGAGCTAATTGAAGATTGAAAAAAAATCTTGTCTGCCGTATGGTGCATAGAAACAAGTGTTAGTGGCCAGTTAGATTAACAGGCAGTATGAATCTTGGACTCTAGATATTGCAACATTTACAACATGAAAACACCTAATCAAAGCCCCTTTGTTTCTAACTTAATCAGGTTTCGCCTCTTTCTTTTGTTTTTTGGTTCGTTTGCCAGTTTGTTTGCTGACTATAGCTTTCACGATGAAGTAGCGAAGAAGCTATATCTTTAAGAATTAAGTTTGTAGAATCAAACTACCAAGGAAATGAAAATCTTCAAATAAGGTCCTATTCAAATTTTTCTGGAGTGTGGGCACCCTTTGTGAATGCACAAAAATTGATAATTTATTTAGTTCTACTTATTGCCATTTTTGCTTTTGCGTTCCGTGCATTTTCCGATCCAGCCAGAACTTTCTTCCTGAGTAATCCTGATTGCCTTGGCCATACACTGTGCCACTTTTATGTCTTAGTCTGCTGAATTACACTAACCTATCTTAACAGATATCACTTTAGGGGCCAACCATTTAACTTTTGAGAGGGGGGGTGGGTGATTTCTGGTCATCAAGAAATGTTTTTCTAGCAATCTGTTGGGCAGGATATTTTTTTCCGATGTTTGGTACATTTTTTCTGTTACATATGGGCTGCATGCAATTTTTTTCTTCCAACAAGCGCTTGCAGGATATTTTTTTCCGATTTTTTGGTACATTTTTTCTGTTACATATGGGCTGCATGCAATTTTTTTCTTCCAACAAGCGCTTCCAGGATATTTTTCCGATTTTTTGGTACATTTTTTCTGTTACATATGGGCTGCATGCAATTTTTTCTTCCAACAAGTGCTTGCAGGAAATTGTTTTTCAAAATCACCTACCTCCCCCCCTCAAAAGTTAAATGGTCGGCCCCTTAGATAACAATGCCATGTAGGACCAGTCCTCTCAGTACTGCATTTCCTCAAAGAAGTGCCCTTCTTCGAATGAGCGTCCACCCCTAGGCTATGATATTAAACACGCACCTCTCTCCAATATTCGCCCCGACCCCCAGGCCATAATGTCAAACATGTACACCTCTACAATAAGCGCAGCGCTCCCCGGGCCATAATATCAAACATACACCCCTCTCGAATGAGTGCCCCACACCTTTCTCCCTCACTTTCTTAAATAGTAGAAATACAAGGAAAATCTGTTTCTATCGCCACTTGACTGATAAATTTTTGAGCTTCAACTACAGCGGAATCAGCACAGGTTAAGTTTCTCATTAAGCTCCTTCGTCGATTGGGCGCCTTCCTTCCAAAACACGCCCCTCCTTTTGTCAGAAATTTTAAAAAAACATTCTGGCGTTTATTCGAGAAAATACGGTAGCTCCATAATCACCACAGACCTTAAAAAAAAACAAACAAACAAACAAACAAAAACTGGGGAACGTCTTTTTTCTTCTATTCTTTAAGAGCGACAACCTTAGGGGGTACTTGCAAGTCTTCAATGTCTTCCTTTCTCGTAAATTCCCAATGCAAGCGTTTGGGATCAGCGACTGACGTTTCATTTTGTCGGGTAGAGTACAAGGAATGAAACTTCCATTTCACTTACCTGCTCTACTGAGCCTGTAGGCTCGCCTCTTCTTTAACATCTTCCTCGATATGTTGCGTCCATAACTGTTCAGATGATTCGTTAGTGACATTCGGTAGTATTCACTGTCGCATTGGTTTTGTGTTACATGTAGTAGTACCGCTGACAGTTGCATTATGCTCTCCAGATTGTTTGTTTACGAACAGTCGAGCATGATTTTCCAAAAAGTAGTCTCATCGAGAGGAATCTGACACTTTAGAAAGTTCAGTAATCTGCTGAAATATTGAAAATAGGTTTTTCTCATCTTCCTTAGAGCGACCGATGGAAACGTCACGGAGAAGTACAGGCCATCAAGGTATTTTAAATGTCGACTTTTACTTCTAATGATTATGATCTAATTCACCGCAGCCAAGTGTAATCCGGTCGACCCAAAAGTGTCGCGAAGAAGATGTAATTGACTCTGTGTATCGCCAGAGGATTAATGATTGCTCAGATAGGAAAGTCTTGGAATCGAAGTTTTGGTGGAAAGCGAATGATTTGAGGTAGAAGTAAGTAATTACTTTGTGATTCGCTCCTATGGTTGAAGGCGCTACTTATTTTGAAGATTAGCCCACCAGGGATCAACGTTGTCAGGATTTATTTGTACTAGAGTGAGCACGGCTCGTTAGATCCGTGGTTACGTCGTAGTCAACTGAAAATTAAATAATTTCGGGATACATTATTATTTACAATATTCTTAGTCGAAGCGACAGACGGTTTCGTAACTTACAATTTGTGTTTCTGAGTAGTTGAATCCCTTGATTCGCTATCTCGATGCTTTATCTTGATGCTTGCGTCTACGACCGTTGATGACCAGCTTCGAATGTTGTTACAGCATAAATTGTTCCTTTTAAATTATAAGTCACCTGACCTAATTTTCCCGCCGCGAGTGGTCGAGGCGATTTCGCAATTACGATAATTAATTCTAACTCTTTACTACGCGCTCCACTGAACATGTAAATCAATTTGTTTTGTCTTCCTTGCAAGCCGATTTCTTTCTTTCCAGAAACAAGAGCAGAAGCGCTTTATCTCTCTGGCTTGGTGCTCAGGAGATAGCGTTCTTGGAAACCCAAGTGCTTTTTATTTGTCTTAAACTTTTTCTCTGAAACTTAAAATGTAAGCATCACCAAAATATGCAATAATTGATTTTCGAGGTTCGCACATTAACTGTGGCGTAATAAAAATTAGCGACCACCGGTCACATCAACTCTTGGGGAGAACTGATTACAGTGAGAACAGAGAAGAAAAACGATGTCATTTTGCGTTCTACAATTTTATAGGTGCTTTATTAATAAAGTTAAAGATAGAGAGATAATATTTTACATTTTTAATGGTAATCTTGTTTATTAAAAATGAGGCGTTAGGCCGTAAACAAGGAAAACTGGCTAATGCGAATACAATTTTAGTATCGACTCGTATACATGCTTTTAGGGTCATCCGTATCCCAATGGACAATTTCGACTTTCCTTAAAAACCCACATGTATCGAGGTCATTTTTTAACCATCTAACTCGTCACTTAAAATCTCTCGAAAAGGCAAGAACACAGCAGCTGGCTAAGACCCTTCCTATAGCACAATGTTCATCAAACTGCGAGCATCATATTTAAGTGAATAAATGCTACAAAAATTCTCACTAGGGTTAAAATGGGTACGTAATCGACTATTTATTTTAAGAACTGAATAAGGCGATAAAAAAATGTTGACAACGTTGGCCAAAAAACAAATGAACAAATGGTTCCCTTAATCTACTAGAAAACTCTTTAGTAAACAGGATACCCCATCGTCCCACTTTTAGGTCTTTCAGCAAAATCTATAAATTCATTTTCTTTGGGTACGGGACTCAACTATTTAAAAAGTTCTTCGTTCGAAAGTGGCTGAAATTTCAGCAACTAAATATTTCTGGTAGACTTTGCATCTCACTAAGCTTAACTGCATTCTTAACGTTTTGCAAGCCCTCTTAACGTTCATTGCTAACTAGAGTTCACTGGGCTTCACTGGAATTTAGATATGAGCCACGCCCTAACTCTGAACAACATAAAGTGGAACAGATGCACTAATGTTTGCATTACGATCAACAAAAAGAACACCACAAAAATGGCATGGTGTGGTTCTTTTTCGTAATCAATGATCTTGTAAATGTAATTCAGGCCTTCCTTATTCTTGCCTCCAGCGCCCCAGTAAATCACGCTAAAAAGCACGTAGATCGAAGAGAACGCATGGGGATACAAAAAATGCAAGAGACGGATTGGAATATTACTGAATATGACTTCTACCAGCATAAAAACGGCAGCTAAAATATGTTCATTTATATTCAAACCATCGATTGCTCCACCTTTTACAGGATACAGCACTGACCAATAGAGAATGGTGATTACCAGCGAAGTTACACTTCCTATGTTGAAAGATAACCACAATAACTTCTGTGGCCAGCTTAGCGCGTCTTCGTCGTCTTCTTTAGTGGCATAGGATGTCCCTTCGTCTTCGGTGTCGTTCTCATCTTCGGAGGACAGTCCCACGATGTAGGTTTCCGACTTGAAACGACGAGGTCCGTAGCCCGCCGGGTCGTCTTCGACTCCAGATCCGCAGCAGTAGTGAGTAGTGATGAACATGGCTAGTAGAAAGTGAGCGGTTACAAAGGTGAGGACCCAGTTACTGAGGAAAATAAACCAGTAGTTACCATCGTTGAAGCCACTGTAGATTAACCATGACAGAAAATAGAAGGCTGCAATGAGGCGGTAAATGAGGAACAAGGGAAGGGGTAGCCACTGTTGAGACAAAAGACTGCCAGTCAGTCCATACCGGGCGAATATATATATATATATCTTATCAACCAAGCGCGAGGGCCGTACTGGGAGAATATCGGCCCGAGGTCTTGACAGTACGGACCGAGCGCAGCTCGGTCCGTACAAAAAAGACCGAGAGCCGATATTCTTCCGGTAAGGTCCGAGCAAGCTTGGTTAATAAGAGATTTATTATACAACTGAAGTTCGAAGGGACACATGTGCGGTATCATTCGGGACCATTCGGGACCATTCGGGACAGTGCCCGGTCCAATACTCAGAGAATATTGGATCGGCAATAGAGCATTTTGATTGGTTGATTTTAGTTATTGGCCCTCTGACTGCCCGAGTCGTGTAACAAAATTTCTTACACAACACTCCCAATTTGAAGTAGAAGATTACACTAAATACCATATAATTTATCCTAACCCAAGAAATGATTTACTACAGATTGAGAATTCACAAATTAACCGAACCTTGTTAGAACTGTTGTCAGATTTGAGAAAAATTCGACCAAAGACTCTTTAATTTCGAGTCAGTTTTGCTCAGTAACCTGGCCATTTACTCTGATTTTTCATAGTCTCTCTCCACTCTTTTCCATATCTGTGCGATCTTTCCTTAAAATAAAATAAAGCGCCACGGGTAGGCATGTTTTCCTGAATTTTCATTCTGACTAGAATACCAACTCCTTCTAGACCGCGCGTAGTGGTTTTGCGTAGATGGCAAGTTTACTGATTTATTTAAATATAACGGCGTCCATAGTCAACGTTATTGCGCATTTGAAAACAATTTCGAACAGTTAGGCTACTCTTTGAAACCTCAAACTGTTGTAAGAAGTAAATTTTCGTGCACAGTTGGTATGATAGAGCTGAAAATTTAACACTTTAGGAGTAATGAATGGATATTCCCGTAAATTACACAACTTTGTTAAAATCTCCACTGAGACACTGTATCCGACAAGAGCCAACACAGGTCTTAAAGTCAGTGAGTCAGTCAGTCACTCAGCCAATGAAGCAGTCAACCAGTGACTCATACATTCAATCGGTCACCTCGCCCGAACGTGATCAAATCCCAATAGAAAAGGTTGAAGTCTCACAAGCCAGAAAGAAGTCTTTTCAGCCTTACCGGAGAATGTGAATTGTTGATCGACAGAAAGATAAGCGTTAGCCCTTCGCTCCGACGAAGGGTTAACGCTCGAAACTTTAACTTTTGTAATCGTTACGGTGGCCAATTTACCATTTCAACTTTGTTGATATATCCAAATTATTTCGTTACTCCCACCGACGCAGCCCCAAACAGTTTCTTTCGAAACTATCAGCCTTTAGACAGATAAATATCCGTGCATATTTCCGCGCCAAATGGAGGCTAATTATGTATTTACACTTCGTTCGCAATTAAATGGAAATGTTGTTGATTTTCCGAGCAAGATAAGATCACCTTTTTTTATCATCATGGTGGGATTTCAGGACGTATAAGTTCTTTACAACCAGCACAATTACTTGCGCTATCTTCGATTTTAGACGCCACAAGTACGTGGCACGAAACACACTGTATGTACCATTGAGTGATTGCGATATCTGCGCAGGCTCCCTCGATACAGTATGAAACTGTTGGAGCTCGAAACTTTGTGTCGCGAGTAAAACTAACGCATGCGAGATTTTTGTTATGAAAACAATAAGATGTTAAGATTGCTTTGCTACCGAGCGCAGCAGTCATTTCATTGTTAAACGAAGGTTCATATGGTAGTACTCAGCAACAGTTTACATGTACTTCTTTACTTCTTAATTTTTTTAGTAGAGCTACTGATTTGATGAAGTGAAAATAAGAGCGGTTAACTTATGGGTAATTATAATATCCTTTAGAAGTGTTTTTAAAATACCGATAGATATGATAAACAATCAGAAAGTCTTGCTCGCTCACATAAGGTATCGCTCTTAATCGAATTACAATTTTGGCGAATACAGCTTATAAGAGCGATATTAATTTCTGATTCATGGAGTCTACGAAATTTAATTATTCAAAACAGTTTCCAGTTGTTCGAGTGGTTAGCGTTGCATAGAAAATCTAGTCAATATTGGTTTATTTTACAAATAACTGCGAATTAATAGGACTTAAGAGAGTCTCTATTCTCATGAGGTAGCTCTCCTGAAGTTTATGGGGACTTCGTGAGATTTAAGTGGCTTGGAACTTTTTCGAGTAAAAAAAGATAATGACACTGTTGGCTATGGAATCTAAATTTTGTGCACAGAAACCGTGTTTCAATTATTAGATCAATTAGCAGCATTTCAAATGAAAATCGTACAAAGTGATCTTTTGAAAAGGCAAAGATTTTAACCGATTTTGTTTATAATGTAATCGTTTGATAGCATCAGTTTTATGAACACGAAGTTTTGATGAACTTAACATACTTGTTTATCGCAGTATGTCTAGAAAGTACTTGACTACTATTTTAATATAGCGACATTCGAAGCGCGCCATCGCATAATTATTACTCTCCTCAAGGACAGTAAACAGTTGTCTAAAAAATTTTGGCGCCTTGCATAACAGAACCATAACGATCTTTTACCACCTTTAGCGGCAACGGAGTTCTCGCACCCGCCAATCTATGGAGCGTTCATTTGGTACAAATGCCAGTTTCATCTATTTCTCGACAACAATCGTGATTGCTGGTCCAATAAATCACGTCTTGCTTATGTTGTCGTTATATGATAAATTCACAGTCGGGTTAAGACTTGATTTACAAATAATTCGTTGCTCTTTGCTGTTTTCATAGCGGAAAGAAACTAAACTTCTCTTTGTAGAATAGCGGAGACGCTTTGAAACAATCTAAGGTAAACATAAATTATACGATCCGTGCAAAAAACAAATGAAAGACCCTAAAGGAATCTGCCATTGATCGGTTTGTGAATTAGAACGAAATGTTTCCTGTTCCTCGCCTTAAACAGTTGATGTACTCACCGGCGATGTCGCAAACGCACTGGCATAAGGATGGCTCAATTTCAGGCGACGGAATGCAAATTCCTCTGGGCAAAGGCACATTTTGAAACGCTCGAAGTTGCGTTCACATATCAATGAAACAAAACTAGGTGACGCTTGAATCAACTGACCTTCTGGAACTTGCAAATTTTGGACCCTCTGTCCGCATTGATGCATGTCTGACATATCCCTCGGGGAACCGCGGTTACAAAGAACTTTGAATCTTAAAAATCCTTTAAATACTACCAGTGGAACTTATTTTGGTGCAATGAAAAGGAAAATGGCTCTGAAAAATTAAATGTTTACTGTTTCGTTTGAATTGGTTCAAGAATGACTCATTATCTTCGGAAAAATACATCACCAGGCCACGATTAATATTCATGATTAAAGAGACACCATATCAATACAACTCAAGATAGGTCCACAAAACACCTTTAGCCATTTAACTCCCAGAAGTGATTAACTTTTAAATTCTCCTTCTAATCCAGACATTTCCAGCAAACAGGTAACGAGAATACTCAAAGTTATCAGGTAGAAGCTGTCATATTGATCTAACACCAAATTCTCGTAACTAACTAACAAGGAAATATGTAGCAGATAGAAGGAAGATTTAACGATCATATCTTGGGAGTTAAAGGGTTAAGTCCATGAATTTCCTTATCATGAGTTAACTTGAAAGACGACTGTGGGAGTAGTATTGTACAATATCGTAAAGGAGTAAATTGTTATGAATATCGGGGAGCATATACCCAGAAAATAGTCCATTTTACAGTTGTGTGCTTACTTGCCAAGCCTTTGAACAGGAGTGAGGCTAAGGGTGACCTTGTTATGATATACAAAGCTTGCTGCCTTTCGAATGTAAATTACTTTGTTATCATGCTAACTAGATACATGCAGGTCTCTATCACGGCAAGGTCACCTTCAGCCTCACTCCAAATCAAAGGCTTAGCAATTAAGTACACAACTGTAAAATGGCCTATTAAATACCTTGCCTTCTTTTATTCATGAAATACTATTCGCTTCCGTCATATTTAAGATGAAGAAATGATCTATGTCTTTTCATGTGTGTCCTCTTGGTAAAACATTAGATTCATAATAGTAGGATTAGATTGAATATGTGTTGAAGGTTGAAATCAAATTTGGGTCAAGTGACTTTTAAAGCAATGTGATTTGTAACTTTCCTTGATCATTATAAAAAATTATTTTCAACAATATGAAATACAGATAAATGCTTAATATATTAATTAAAAAGTTAAAGATTTAGACCTACTGGTAAATTATCTAATACGTAACTCACTTATACTCGCTGTTCAGGTGTTCAGGTGTTAAGTTAAATCATTCCACTGAAGTCTATTGACTGTATTTCCTTGAGTGTGCACCCAGGCTCGAATAAGTCCCATTCTCTGAATTAGTCAGGGCTTTCTAAATTTCTTTGCATTTTCAGGATTAATGGTTTCAATACAAGTTGATGAGAGAGGAGAGAAGTTGTTCTAAAAATTAAAAATAGAATTTGTGGAAGCTTGGATGATACCAGGTCGTTTAAGAGCATTGTAGAACCAAAACCAGGCTGATAACAATAGCCAATCACAGTACAGAAATATTCCGGATGGAGCAAATGAGAATTCAAAGTAACAGCAAGCAAGCTGCCTGAATCGAAGAGCGGGAAAACGCGAGCCGGACAAAGAAGTGGTTGGTTTTGGTTTTGCATCTGATTGACTTCTTGAGGGGGAAGTGCGAGTTTTTTTAGACAAATTATAGAGCAAAGTAAAAAACACAGTACAATCCTGGATGGCCTTAAATATTCCTGGCTACGATTTGCAGATACCTGGATGGTTCTCTATTTCAGTTTTTGTTCTCTGGCGTAAGAGATTGATTCGGTCCACATGGCTAAAACTCTTGATGATATCGTTCAAGGGGTTCTCACAATTACTGTATGATTTTGCAGACATCTGTCCTGTTTAGTTCATTCTACTGACATAAAGTTTGTTTGTCTAAAGGTCAAATATATACCTTTCGTGATAACAGACGAGACTATTTTTGTTCAAAGATTGAGATTGTCTCTCCTTACGACAACGATAGCTTTTTGGCCCCTTATATTCAGCAAACTTGTGAGGTAAATAATTCAGAATTTTGTTTTGTTACATAGTTGATACCTATCATTTAGATAAATAAGTCAGTTTACGATTAAAAAGAAATAAGCAACGCGTTTCTGTCTAGGCCTTAACAAAACATCTTCTAAACCTCAAGTACCAAGTAAATCCCCTGCTTTGATAGGTTGTAGTCTTGCATGTGTAGTAATAGACTGCGTACTTTCTCCCATGTGAACCTCCAAAATTTTCGTTCTTATTGCTGAATCCAAGGAGTTCTTCCTACAGCCTATGGAAGCTCCTTCGTGATCTTATTATTGCGCCCACGATTCGCAATCTTTTACCTTTGATGGCCAAATCCAGTAGTGCAGCCTGTGGATTCCTTCCCCTCTTTGAAATCGGCGATAATGCCGCCAGGGCGAAGATCAGGGATTTACTTTCAACAGCTCTTTACGACTTTTAAAAAGATAAAAGCGAAATATTTAAGGGAAGTAATGGGAACTAAAAATAAGTACATAAAAAACGCGACCACCGCGGTGACCAAGTCACGATTTGTCAGTTTAGTCTGGAACCTGATGACGAAGTGAAAGAATGGCGCAAATTTTGTAGACCAATGACGATGTGAAATACAGTACAACTGGCCGATTCTTCTTGGACGACTTTCGAGAATCAGTGTATTGTCAATTCGTTCGCCTGATAAGTGATGCTAGAGTTCACCAACGTACTTTAGTGATAGAGATTGCGTTCAAACTAGGTCCTTATGCACGTTCATATACTGCGTCGTACTACAGAACTACAGGGGGCCCACACAAGCGGCGTGTCTGGTCGTTTGTTCCAAATATAAAGAAATGTATGGGAGAATATTGAAGAGTCGTAATATCGTAAACTTATATCGAGGAATGTCTATGTTATATTTCGAACAAACGACCAGAAACGCCGTTTGTGTGGGCCCCCTGTGTACAGAACAGCTTTCCGTTTGACCTTCGTCAAAGAAAAAGGAGGGACATGTACTGGAACGGCATGGTTGATGTGTAAATGTGGGTGGATTGCGGTGAAGCAGCGTGCGCACTTTTTGGGCTCTATGTTTTCGCAGCGAAAAGGACAAAACTTGACATGAAAAACTGTTTTACAAGCTAGAAATTGAGCGAGATACGAAAGAGAGTCCCTTTTTGACTTTTCCCACCAATTTTCCCGCGGCTGAAACAAGAAAGGGACGGTGCCGCTAGTTTAAACGGTGTTAAAACTCTAATTAGTCTGATCTTCACATCAATTAACAGTAGTCTCCAGTAGTCAGTAGACATCAAAGCACAACTGATTTATGTTATCCTTAGTGGTCTATGGATTGCGCAAGAACTGAACGAACTACGATAAAAATCTAGTAACCCCCTCATGATACCTGCTAAATAGTTGGAATAGGTCGGAAGGGAAGGTGGCAAGTGGTAAACACTGCTGTAGCTCTTAGTAAGCGACTGTCGTCACCTGAAAAAGTTTCTCCTCTTGGCTTCTGGTCGCTGCTCAAAAAGAAATGTCTGAGAATATATGAAAATATGCTTTCTGTAAAGCGTATACAACGTTTAACGATTTTTATGAAGGACTTATTTCCTTGACATCTTGTAAATCGAAATTAAATTTGTTACTTGGCTGCACAGACCGTTTAAGCAATGTTTTGAAAACTGATACGCGTTTTTGCGGACGAAATCCGCTAATGACAAAGAGGTATTGACAAACATGATATTGCTTATGTAACGGACACTCCCAACGAGACCGAAATTTTTTGTCGCTGACCTCTGTTCGATTAATGGCATCTTAACCGGATCAGAAAAATAATCAGTACTCAACTAGATCACGAGCAAAATCTTCTGAGAAATTTCTTCACAATATTCATTGGTGACTCCTCGAAATTTCTCGGGCCCATCGAACATGAAGAAGAAGTATCACTCATTATCACTGGATAAAAGATCTGTAGGCAGGCAAAATATCTGGATGAAATTAAAGCTGTTGATAACTTGGCTCAAAAATAAGTCTGGAGGAAATTAGAAGTGAACAATGCTGAACTTTGTTATTTTTTACTTGATGAGAATGTCACATTACATCTAGAAAGGTATTTTCTCCTTAGTGGCGAAGGGCCATCTTACCGAACTCGTTAAGAGAAACTAGATATGGGTCAACTTTGAAAATTAATGAGTTACTCATACTGACCCCTAGGAGGTATTTGCAACTCGAAACGTTTGTAATTTTCTTTTGGCGCTCTCAATGCAAGAGAAGATTGACATTCTAGTAAGTGTAAACATCAACTCTGACTGAAACATAAACCATTTAGTGAGTCAAATGTTAATATCTTGAAGCATTTAGACTCTCATGCTTCTTGTTTTTGCGAATCTTCCTTGATAGGAATAGACGGAGTCGCCACTTGCGAGGCTCTCTCTGGTACGGAATGAACTTTCTGTGCTATCAGCTGTTTGTTGGAGGCCTATTGTTAATTACAGCGCACGAAGGTAAGGAAAACCAAGAAACATTTTATTTAGATCGTTCCTGCTTTATCGCTGATCCGTGAAACGCTAAATCGCAACACAGATGCCTATAAGGCGATTGATAAGAAGACCCTTGTTGTTTCTCAGGTATAGTTCACGCTTAAATAAGGATCTCCGATTTCTATTCCATGTCTTTTGCCAAACACATGTGTAAGCAGAACTTATTCAAGGTTATTCCATTTTACTGAGAATTAATCATCATTCGCTTTATCTTTAATAGCAGGAGTTTATTGTCGCCTAAGCGAGATTAAACCAAAGAATTTAAGGCCGTTTCAGGATACCTTAAATTACTGCATTAGAAAGATAATATTCACTGCTTTTTCTCTAGTGTTTGCCGCTCCCGTGCGATATTTTTTTTTTTATTCGTGCTCCTTTGACCCCTCGTGGATGACACAACGCAAATCCAGACCTGAATGAAAACTCGGTAGTCAATTGCTCAGCGTTTAATCTGTTTTTGCTCTACCCTCTTTACGTGTTTTCATGGTGTACCGTCCTTAGGACTGACATGGATATTCAACAAGAGGTGTATAAACTGGTATAATGTAAACTCACCAACGTGATAAGTGGCTTTATCGCAGTGTTATCTCAAATATGAGCTATGATGAAGGACATGGCACCTCGCCTCGATGGATATCATGTAAACCGCAAATTCTACTCATTCTTTATATCATTATTAACTCGTTACAAATCGTTACAACAGCTCCTTCCATTTGCTGTTGACAGTGCAGGAGTGAAGCTCTCTTCTGATTAAACTGAAGTAGACACTTTCAATAGCGGATGATCTTGAAAATAACAACCGCACGACGTTGAATGTTTACATTCGATCTAGCTGTCTCGTTTTCGTTCTTAGTTTTGATTAGGTAAAGATGATTTAAAATCTGTACACGAGAGTATCGACTCAGAGCCAAGTCAAAAGTGAAGTTTTTAGTAATCACCTACGTTACGCTTGATTAGAAAAACTGATTTCTGCGTTTTTTCGGATTCGTTATTCGCCAACACGGCCACGTGTGTTCATGTGAATATGTGGGCTCTGGCGCCTTCCCGCTGAGTGTCACACAACTGACATTGCTGGCCACCACATGAAGATTTACCTTTTTTCGATTTTTCTCTTCTTCTTGCCAACTTGTTCGATGTCGAGTTTAACTTACCCGGAAAGACAAATCTGATGGCGGCAGACAGGCGAAGACAATCTTATTTCGTGTTGGACTCGGTCAAAAATTTTTATCGCAATATGTTCGTGTAAACCGTTAGGATCGAATGAGACATGTGAAAACCACCCACAAGGGAGACTTATGTGTTTGTGTTAAAGAAAATTTGATGGGAATTGAGTATTGTGGCCATGTGTCAGTTCTTCTGGAACCCCCTTGGTTATGACTGACTTGAGTTTTTGGGAGACAGTTTTGCATGTGACTTGTCTCCAAATGCATACCTCAGGGACTTAGTGGGTCGAGTGGTAACACTCATCCCATGGTATTCCGTAGCGGAAGAATCACTAACCACCAGGCCCCGGTTGTTCGAAGGATGGATAACGCTATACACTGGATAAATCTCTATCCGGTGGATAGCACTGTACGTTTTGGTAACACTTATCCTCTGGATAGCGATTTATCCGTTGGATTGCGTTATCCGGCCTTTGAACAACCGGAGCCAGCCGTTTCTAAAGAAAACAAGCCCACAGCCAACTACATCGCTCCCGGCGTCATTGATATTTTCGGGATTGCGCTGGGTTTTGCCAACTGATATCACTGCTGCAAATCAGTCGCTTCGTTATCGTGCGATATCTTTTGGACATTGGTTTAATCATCTCAGTGCTACGCCGTAGAGGTTCAATTTTAAAATTTTTTTTCAGGAAAAATAGGGTTTTCAGTGAAGAATTTCATCAGCAACTTTCAAAAACAAATTTTGGAAAGGACGTAATCAACTTAATTCCATTCGCAATGTTGTTCAACTTCAATTTCCTTTTTAA